TAAATGGAGATCAGGAGCATATATTATATATGTATGTACAATACATATGTACTTCAGCGCTGCGTCTCGTATTTATCTTCCACTTGGACACGTGCGCATATGTATATAGAATTTCATGTAATTTACGATTTCCCGCATTATCCGGCAACTGTTACTCGCTTGCAAGTAATTAAAACAAATTACCAGTATATCTACCTGCCATTAAGGTAGTAATTAAAAGTCGTCGCTGTGATTTGTGCAACAATGCGACTCATTGACTTTATTGCTATTGTTGGCATTAACTTGAGCACAAGCTGGATAAAGCACCACTACTCGCTCATTGTCAGCTGTGAGTTTTTCTTTAATGGTGATTTTCATTTCATTTGTCTTCATTTGTCAAAGTACAAAAAAAACCAATTAAAAATTGAAATTCACAGCTTTCTTGGTAATTTGAGCATTTCTGTTTACTTTTAATTAAAAATGGTGTACAAATAAAAACGGAAGAAAATTTGTGAATACTTTGATGCCCCGAACATAAATATATATTTAATTTGTAACGCACAGAACGAAACGTCAGAGACTCAATAAAATATATACATAAACGATCAGCTTGACAAGTTGTTCGATTTAACCATGTTCGTCTGTTATATGCGAACTAGTTCTTCACTTTTAAGATTTGAAATTTTACACATGTCTTTTTCTCCCTGAGAAGCTGTTTTTTTTTGCCGGAACCGCCGATAGCAAAATCGAACTGATCGATCAAAATCAAGTTCTTGTATACAAAGACTTTTTCATTTGTCAAGATACCTTCACGAAATTTCGTACAGGCTATTATCTAAGACAATAAGACTAATAATATATATAAGATATGAAGCCGTGATTATAGCTTCGGGGCAGCACAACTTTAAAAATTTCCTTTTTTCCTAAGTATTGTTTGAAATTTTAAAATTAAACTTAATACCTCAGTTACTTGAATATTTAATTTTTCTTGTATTAATTTTCTAATTTAATTTCTACTTAAAGGTCCCAAAATTGTGGTACGACCCGAAGAGGTAATCATTGTAGGCCTAGTGTTGATGCTTTGGGTTGGCGCCATCGTTCTCTTCTTTAACCGCTGGGGTAAAATACGCATGCTGGAACCCTATCAACCGAAATTCCAGCAACAACATCGTTCTTCCTGTCCGCTGGTCGATATTGATGCCATACCAACACATGGGGTAAGTATTCATAACTAGAAACAACAACTATATATTGTATTTTCAACAAATTATATATTGTATTTTCTCTGTAATTTGTATTATGCAGTGAAGTTTACACTTGATTTTGAAGTCCTTTTAGTTATAATCACTTCGTTTATGTGGCTTGTTTTCAATACGTACCCAATCCAACATTTTAGCCGAGCTTACCTAATAGACTCAAACATGCAAATCATAAGCTTTTCCACGAGCGTTCATCCGGAGACACAACTTTCATTATTTTTATTACCACGGCTGACTTGAATAAATTTCAACTTAGAGGCCTAATTTTCGACCACTTTTAGCAGCAATTGGGGCTGTATGACAGCAGTAATGCGCCGAATATTCTCTTCCAAGGCGTCAATCGTTTCGAGCACACAAAAATTAGCCCATCGCGGAGTTTAATTACATTACCCAAAAATAAAAGTTTTTTGGTCATTTTTTAAAATTTATATCTATAATTAAAGTCTTTATTCGATTGTTTACTAAAAAAAAAAAAACTTTTTCCCTCTGCATAATTTCAGCGCGCATCTGTATCTCGTATGTCAATGGGTTTAGTTACTAATATAAATATGCCGACCTGTCAATTTGCTGCTTATAATCCCACGATATATGCCAAAGGTAAGCACATTTTTACTATATTTATTTGAAACCTGCTTTTATAAAACTTTCACTACTATCACTGCAAAAATTTAATTTTTGGATGTTTGGGTTAAACAAACGAACAATCATCTAACTGATACTCGCTTAATTGTATAATCTAAATGATCTACCAATTAAGATAAGATTAATAGATGTACTTTTGATACTTAATTATATTCGTACTAATTTCCAAATAATTAACGGACACACTTATTGTAACCGCCTAAAATAAGGTGATGAATGTTTTAAAATTTAGAAGATATATTTACAAAAAATATATTTTTCACTGAGATTACCCAAGTTACTAAACAGACGCCCGCCACTGCTGCAGTGATTGCGACTTTCACCCTAGTTAAAAAAAAAACCCAAAAAAAAATTATTAGTCTAGTTATTGTTAAAACAAGAAAAAAAAGTTAACTTTTGTTGCACCTAAGCTATAATATCCTTCACAAGTACAAAATGCTTCTTAGAAGAACTTAATTCCGATCGTTCAGTTTTTATGGCAGCTATATGGTATAGTAATTCGATCTGAACAATTTCTTCAAAAATTTAATTATTGTTTTAGATAACAACCAATGCTAAATTTGGTGAAGATATCTCGTCAAATGAAAAAGTTGTCTATACAAGGCCTATAAGTGCTATATCCTAAAATCCAATATCGGTCGTTCCGATAAATGAACAGCTTCTTGGGAAGAAAAGGTTAGATGCTTAATTTCAGATCGATATCTGAAAACTGACGGACTAGATCTTATATAACATATACAGACAGGCAGACAGACATGGCTAAATCAATACAGCTCATCACGATGATCATTTCCTTATTGGTGTTACAAACTTCGTGGCAAACTTAATATATCCTGTTCAGGGTATAAAAAACTTAAATTTAACAAAAGGGGCGGACTTAAATATGAGTCGAATTTTGCTAAAAAATTAGATGATGTTTTGCCCGCCAAAATACTTTTTATAAATCGAAAAATTTGAAGAACGTTGTACAGAAAAACATATACAAAATAAGCAGAAAAAATTAAAGCGATAATTTGAAAAAGTTGTTTTGAGAAAAATGCATTTAAACATAAATTGATTGAGCAGATTAAACTGAGCGCCTACATTGTAGACGGCTGTAACTCAAAAACTATTTGAGATATCGAAAAAAAAAGATTTTTTCAAAATTTCGTATGCTCTTTAAATGGAAATTTTTTGCCTTACATTGCGTAATTACTTACATTATTTGTTATTATGTTATAAAGGTTTCATATATTACTAAAAAATATTAAACAAGTATCTACAGAATTATAGATATGCCTCCAATGCGGCAAAATAAAGTTTAGCACTAAATACAACGGAACCACACATTACAGATGCGTGTCTATCACTCGCAAAATGCGCATAATCCGACTACATAGAACCATCCATTTACACGGAATCACAATAACAGACATTGCAGAGAATTCCATTGCATCAAGTATGCAAGAACTTAGCTAAACTCTGGCCATTACTTGCACATATGTACATACGTACATACCACTGGACATATATATGAAGGACCTACTACGTTCTCGCACCGACCGTAAATCACCAACATGGGCAGCAGAAACGAAAATAGAGTTCAACAGTAAAACTGAAACTTTGAACGAGGAAATCATGATCCTCTTACTTATGTGAAGCTGCTTACATACTCAGATATACATGTTGTATGCCGTGTAGGCACACATGCTAAAATAGCCTTGAAAGTATTGATTCGTGGTACGAGGGTTTGGCATATATTTAGGATGTATATTTACACTACGGTCCCCCAACAGCAACAACTACATATATAATTTCATGTTGCTAATTTCGTTACGGCTTGCAGGCCAGCTCCAATTGGCTTACAGTGAGAACACTTTAAACTTATTACTTACCACGCTATAAATTTTGTTTACATAACGGTTGTGCAGAATTAACAAATTACATCAATATATCATTGCGTCTAGTATCAGGTTCCCGCATGAGGTTACACTGCTATACCACGTAATCTACTGCGAAACAGCACAGTGAAAGAATGGTAGAGAATCGAACAAAATTCGGGAAAAAAGAGAAAGGTATAAAAAATTCAGAAAAAACCTTAACTTCGGCTGCTCCGAAGCTGTAATACCCTTCACAGCTGTATAGCAAAAAAGGATCTTACCGTGATTTTTATCGGTCAGATTGTATGGCAGTTATGCTAAAATGGTCATATCTGAATAATATGTTTGGAGAACGGCTGCCTCGGAATTTCGTGAATATATATTGACAAATAAAAAAGTTGTCTATACAAGGACTAGATTTTGACCAATTAGTTTGTATGACTGTTATATCCTATAAAGATCCGATATCGGCGAATCTGACAAATAAGCAGCTTCTTAGGAAGAAAAGAATATGTGCGAAATTTCAGAGCGATATCTCAAAAACTGTGAGACTAGTTCGCGTATATACAGACAAACAGACAGATGGGCACGGTTAAATCAACTCAGCTCGTCATGCTGATCATTTATATATATGTATATATGTAATAGAGTCTCCAGCGTTTCCTTCTGAGTGTTTCAGACTTCCTGGCAAACTTATTATTCCCTATTCAGGGTATATAAACCGATAGATAGATCGGTAAGAATGCGCCAGAAATTCGGTAACTGACATACAAAGTCATTTAGTTGAGAGATATAGATGATTGGCTTGTGATTCTCTCACAAATAACGATCTTAATGAAATGAAGAGCCAACATACACCAATATCGATTGTTTTGGGCTGTTTTGATTTGTTGTAAAAATATGGTCTTAGCGCAAACGTCGGTTAAAACTTAATTTCACATAAAATATTAAACATACTGCTGTACATACAGTTTAGCAGTCGGATCATAACATATCGTATATAAGTTCAACAATAATTCTAGGGGTATGATTCGATAAAACAATGAAACCACAAAGATGTTATTATTTACAAAAAAGGCAATCTGATTGCAGAATAATGACAGAACTAAGTCACAAGAAAAAGACACGGGGATTTTCCCAGTTGAAGCGAAATTCCTAAATTAAGTACCTGGCAATACTACTTCACCTTTGATAGCCGTTCGTAGGTAAAAAATATTGTACATGCATAACTACGCATCGAGCTATAAAGTGGGCTGCAAATCTACTTGAGATGTCAGTCGTTAACACTAAGGTGACAGCGAAATATATAGCTAAAAACTCATCACTAAAAAACACAACACTAGCAGATTTTTAACACGTCGGATTTAAAATTAATGATGTTTACAAAGCTACACTCATTGCTTAAAATGCTAACATTTTTCCTGATAGTTCTGCAAAGTAGAGCCAAACCAGTGCCCAGTGCTGATCCTTCTAAGGACATAATGAAGAAACTGCAGAGCATCTTTAAAATTGACGAAGGCCTTATGGTATACAACACTGGAGTAGCAAGAGAAGAACTTGAGGATGATGAAATCGTTTGTGCCGAACGTAGAGCTGGAAAATCGTATTGCAAGGAGGTTGAAAATTATATGGAGGCTACACGGCTTGATAAAATTGACCCAGAAGAGTTTGAAAAATTCAGAGAGTATTTCACAGATGATATATCGATGCCGCTGAATATAGCAACACGTATGAAGATCGAGGCGGTAAAGAAACTTGGCAATACCAAGACAAACGTGATATATCCAGAGGGTGCTGAGTCAGGGGATACTAAATGGTTGTTGATAGTCCAACATGAGCAACACAAGCAAGCTGTTCTAGTGGAGGAGTGTGAAAATAGGGAACGACTTGGTGAAGAGAATAGTACCCTACCGCTGGAGAATATCCCTAAATGTAAACAAAACTTCAGTTATCGCAAGATGGTGGTGTTGGTGAATGGCCTTATGAAAGAGGAAATGATTAAATTACCAAGTGCCTGTGAATGTAGCATGAGCTCCATTTGAGATTATTCTTAGTTATAAGACTAAAATATGTAAAAATATTTGATTTTGGATAGCGTAGAATTTTGAGGTCATAAAAAAATATTAAAATTATAAAAAACATTAGATATTTTACTAGAATTCGCTTTCTTTGTAGCAATATTATTTATGTTAACAGACATAATCAATTAAAAGTCATTAAAATTGGTGGACATTTGCAGAGCTCCCAAAAATAGCCGGTTTTTATAAATTTAATGTATAAAGATAAGAATATCTATGAGATGTCTACTTAAATCTATAAATTTGTTCCCAATAAATCCAATGGTTCTGGATAACCGTATCACATGGATGATGAGTTAGATTACCAATGATTGCATTTACGTAATATCGCACCAAATTGAGTCTTCAGAAGAATTTTCGAAAACAAGTGTACAGATTAAATTGCGAATAATATACTTTTTTTGTTCGTTCATAAACAATTGCTCTCTGCACCAGGTAGCTTGCTGCGAACTTTTATTTAGATACAATATGACGTGTTTTCAAATCAAAGATTTCTTAAACAAGCTGCTTTCCAGATAAGACATACCAGTTCTTATGTGAATTATGAGATATTAGGGGCTGAGTTTTCCCAAAACAAATATATGCGCATACTTTGGGCTGAACTATAAATGATATAAATAAACTACACCTTAGAATATTCAAAATACAATTCAAACTCAAGCACATAATGGTTGTAATTGTAGTACCTACACATTTCCTAATAGCGCTTGAAACAGTTGGCAGAGTATCAGCAATGCTCAAGACAGGTGCTTCTTAGGACATTGTGGATAAATTAAAGAATATTTTTAAATTTGAAGATGGTATTATGATATTTATCACCGAAATAGCAAGGACTTGAAGGTGACGAAAGTATTTACAGCGAACGTAGGACTGGAAAAAAAACATCGTTGGAAGTCATATGGAATTAATCTCTCCAAAGCAATTAACTAGTAAATCCAAAGATTTAAAAAATTGTATGCCTTAATATTTAGAAGTAGTATATGAAATTGATGTTAAAATGATATAATAGCACATTATAGAAAATAAATAGTTAGTTTAATATTTCACATAGATAGATAGAGTATCAAATTAATTTTTCAGACGAATAACATAAATATATACACCCAACAATCGAGAGGACTCGATCGATCAAATTTTTTGCGAGAAAGAATAATATTTTCAGCTTATAGTAGTTGTGAGATTTGAAAAGCATCTCTGGCTCAAAAAAAATGCCTGTTAAATGTATTGTCTTGTGTTCCAGGCTTTGCTGACCAGGTACAATTGTCACATACCATTGTATAGAAATCATCATCAAACGTTAATGTTCATAGGAAAACTACCTGTCGTAATTTACTTGCTGAGGTGTATGGTAAACTCAGCTCAGTTATATTGAAATTTTCAAAGTGACATGTCGCCAAAAATGGAACGATAACTAAGCAATACTGTGTTTAGTTATAAAAATAAATTAGTGCAAAGTTCTGCAGAAGTACCAATAACTTTTGAAGAGCAAAAGGTCACTTGATAACGGCAAGTTGTTATTCAACTATTCGGGTAAAGAACAAAACATAACTTGTCACCGACGAAAGGATTTATCCCAAGTGGTAAAATAAATAATATAAAAGATTTTTGATATTCACCAAAAAAATAATATTCCGCACTCACGTACGGGCTTTCTTTTATTTTATCAGAAGTATAAGCAGGCATTTGGAACTACCAAACGAAAGCTACTAAAAATCACTTCGATAAATTCACATTTCTGAGTTGTTTTTGAGCAGTCTACCACTTTTTTTGCGTTGAGAGCCAGTGCAGAATTTCTTTTTTGGCATAAAAACGTAGCGCTTATTGTGCAATTTCCCAGGTCCTTTCGAAAGCGTCAGTTGCAAATTCATTCGAAACATATGGTAAATTCATGTGTTATGTGGCGAATGGGCAGGCAAATGAAAGAACATGCAAAAGGAAATGTGAATGAGGGAATTGCATATTGCATGCAAATGTGCACATAAAACTTTGATTCATTTTACAAATGTTAAAATACAAAAGATTTTATGTATATATAGATTGCACAAGAATGTATACATTATATTATATAAGAAAATGTGAATGACGTAAGTGCCAAGAAATTTCAAAACTGAGAGTTTATTCATTAAGCTTTCATAATAATTCATTTCAGTAATAGTAGCTTACACGCTAACTCATTATACCCTGAACAAGTTTGTAACACACAAAAGCAAACGTCGGAGACCCTACACAATATATATAATATATAATATATAATTATTATTTATATATATTATTTTATTCATTATTGCAATTGTAATTAGTCAGAATGACGAGCTGAGTCGATTTAGTAATGTCCGTCTGTATATATGAGAATCGGTCCCTAGTTTTCTCACCTTTTCACACCAAGAACTGTCATTTCTCAGAACCGCCGATATCGGACGACTATATCATATAGTTGTCAAATAAACTGAACGATCGGAATCCAGTGCTTGTATGGAAATCTTTTTTGTTTAACAAGGTATCTTCTTGAAATATTGCATGGATTTTGTCTAAAGCATTAATGTATTCACCGAAGAAATTTTTCCGACATATAAGTCAGTTTGCATGACAGCTATAAATGCAAACTGGCCGATCGAACTCAAGTCGTTCTATGGAATCCTTTTTTATTTGACAAGGTATCATGGCATAGACTGTTGTTGACTGCATCGCTACAATCTCCAAAGAAATTGTCCAGATCGGACCACTGTAGCATATAGTTGTCATATAAATTGACCGATCAAAATCAAGGTAAAGATCTTTTTATACCTCTTTATGCTATGAAAAATGTACATGTTTTATAGTTTCGGTGCTTTTCTTGATTATTCGTATAAACACTAACACAGATTGTGAGGTCGTTGTGTAGAAGAAATTGTGACTTTTGTAGTAGTTGACAATTCTTGGCCGGATACTAATTCGGGTCCGTTTTCGTTACGTATGTATGCCCGAATGTTGTGGAAACGGTTGTAGGTTTCATTAATCTATTGTCAAACAGTATTTATTTCTGAAAATTAACAGTTCCGAAACTACAAAAAAAAAACTACGGAATACTGTTAAATTTATCTCTGTAACTACCCGTGGTGGCATCATTACTCATTTTACATTAAAAGTTTAGCAGGAAACCTTATTCCATCGAATGCTCAAGTTTAACCAATACTTGGTTTAAGCGCTATGAAGAGCAAAATTCGGAGCTTGACGTCGGTAGACTTTTGAATGATTAGCAGTGGAATTGAGATCAAAAATTGGATTAAGAGTTGGTCACAAAAGCCATATGAAAGAAATCGTGTTTTATTCGTTTTGAAACCAACAACATATTCAAAATAATGAATTTGTATAATTTTTAAAATAAATCATTATAAAACATATTTCTTAAAACATAGCAGAAGAAATATAATCACAAGAAGAAGGCAGTTAAAATGCAAACGATGAATTCGATTCGGAAATGGATTAAAAATCGTAACTATATTTCTGACCAATGACAGGTCTATACAAATCATAGTAAATTATTACTATTAATATTATGCTGTTATATTATTATTATTATATGTTACAAAGTTTCATTAAAAATAATTTCATTCATGAAAGTTTTCGCATGCCAGTTAATTATCGGCAAAATATGTCTGAAGCAATAAAAATTTCTATTGAAAAATAAATAATTTCTCTTTATTTTTGAAAAGAGCCTATACAACATTTCCCAGACAGTAACTGTCTACTTTCATAACAATTAACAGCCTTAATTCCCGGAATTCATAATAAAAACGATTTTCTTCTTTTGAAGATTTGCTAAGGTTTAGGCACCTGTTAAATTTGATTGCATCATTATCAATAGCTTAGGTAATTTTCTGTAGCCGTACGCTAAATGCAAATACTTTTTGTCTAATCTTTTGAGCAAGCGCTGCGAAAGGTTAGCTACCGTAGACGCTATAATGGCGATACCTGTCACTTGGCTGTGCTACCCGCGTGCAAACGCGAAATCCGTGGGTTTGCCTGTATGGTCTGGTATAAAAAGGAAATTTTTTACACAACTCATTCAGTTGTGGGAAAAACCCAGCATTCAGCGAGTCCTGACAATTAACTGAGCGGTGGAAATTCCCAAGTTTCTACAGATTTTCATAATAAACTCAATCAATTCTGGCCAAAAACATTCAAGCCACTTGGGGAAAACCAAATGTACCAGGCTTTGGAGTAAACCATAAGATTATAGCGTAATTAAAGAGTCAACGTAACAAAAACAAAAATATGTTTTTTCTTCACTTGCGATTAGAGATCGTTCTCTTGGGCGTTTTATTGATTATTAAACACATTGGCAGTCGTCCAATAACAGATATCGAAACGGAAATAGTGTTGGACGACCTCTTTGAGATGGGAACTGGCTTTTATGTGTTCAACACAACGAAAGAACAATCAACCGTTGATGCTATCAATTGCCCCGAACGACTGAAAGGCCAGACATTCTGTACCGAGGTGACAAATTATTTGGAAGCAACACAATTGAATAAATTTAGTACAGAGGAATTTGAAAAGTTCAAACCATATTTCAAAGATGATTTCGTACAACCAATAAATGTGACGAATCGTATGAACGATGACATTGATGAGAGCTACTATTGTGACAGTAAAACACGATTGGTTTATCCGAAGGTAGCCGAAACTGTGGAATCGAAATGGCTAATGGTTGTGCAACACGAACAATACAAGCAAGGCGTTCTAGTGGAGCAATGCGAAAATGAAGATGCGCCGTGCAAATTTGACGATCTCTTACCACTCGGCGTGAAATCAAGATGTAAGCAACATTTTGTTTATAGAAGTTTAGTGGTGCTGGTGGATGGCGTCATGCATGAGCGCATGGTGAGGTTGCCCAACGCATGCAAATGTTCGTTGCGGGATATGAGGAGGAGTTGAAAATGGGGAAACTGCTTATTTATTAATTATTGTTCCTTAAATAATTCTCAGAATTATTTGTACAGTCATGTGGTAGAAAATAGTTCATAGAATGTTTTGTTAATTTGTTAAATAAGTATGAAATAAACTATAAATATAATAATACATATATATATATATTATATAATATATAAGTATGGTTTATGTTTCTGTTGTGGTTTTTTCGGGATATTTCAACTAAATGTGGTGTGAGTAAAAACCTCAGTGGTATTCGCTACTCATATTTTAGTTCGGTTAATTGTGCAACATGTATTGTTCAGAGAACGAGCATTATAATCCTACATTATATTGGTAAACTCTTTATAGGTCTTCCATTTGTTTTAGGCTTTTTTCAATTGAAGAAATCTTATAGTATAATTTAACTTACTAGTCTAATTAATATTTTATAGCAATCGAATTTGTTATATCGACTATATCCACTTCTAATTTCAAAAAATCGAGTTTTTTTGCCTACACCAAGTGCAGTAAAAAAACCATTATTTTTCCAATAGATGGCGTTATTAATCTGTATCTCTGCGTCTATTATGACATTTCTTACTAAAAAAGCTTTTCTGACAGTTTTGTGATTGGTTTATTTAGCTCTGTTTGAGCGCGTGTCAACGATGGACACTAGCAAAAAGAAAATCGCTTTATTTTACAAATTTTCTTCGATAAGGGCGAAAACGTAAGGCAGGCGGCTGAAATGATAAATATCGTTTATGGTCCTGACACTGTAACAGCCAATCGTGCGCAATTTTGGTTTCGTCGATTCCGTTCTGGTAATTTCGATACCAAAGATGCACCGCGCTCTGGAACACCAATTATCGAAAAAAATCGATCAAATAATGGAAATCGCCGAAACCAAGCATCGATTGCGATTGTCCAAGACCTAAACATTGCACAAAAAACCGTTTGGAATCATTTGAAAAAGGCTGGATACGAAAAGTAAAAATTAAAGCATTCAATTTCAAGCAAAAATAATGGATGTTTTTTACTACACCTAATATTTGAGAATAGTTTTCTTAGTTGGTCCGTCAAATAGTTTTGGAGATATGTATATTCATATGTATATATGCATTTGTTATTTCTAATCGGCTCGCAAAACTTTAAAGCAGTTTTTCTCGAAGCGCTGCTTCAGAGTCAATGAGGAAAATTTCTCCGAAACGGCATAACGGATCGACTCCTTAGTCATATCAAACAATCTTTTTAATAACAATTTCAATTTTTCAAGTACTTTGAAGTGTACATTTTTTTCAGATAAAACGACTTTTTTTTAGAAGTCATTATTTTGATAAAAATCAAAATTTTGACTAGTCCCTCGTTCATTACGTGTATTCGTCTATTGTAATAATTTTTTGTTTGGTTTTTTAATTTGAGATAACATACGCTGAAAAAATGTTCTTTTTGCTAGACACCTTTTTACGGGGGTTCTTCTGGAACACCCTTTTACTAAGGTTCCTAATTTTTTCAAAATAATTCGAGAATTTCTAAACTATATGAAATTCTTGATATAAACATTTTTTATTTAAAATTTGGGTATGGTATTTTGTAAAAGTTAAAACTATTGTGATATGCAAAAATTATATTTTTTTTCGAAATTTCGCACAAGGTGTGGTTATATATTTAAGCCGATGCAACACAATTCGTATGCATAAACGCTTCAGTTTAGTGCAGAATATTAAATTATAACTTTCAAAAATAGTCTTAAATATTCAAATTCAAATACCAAAAAATTCCCTCACTCACCCAAAATGTTCGTTACCTCAGGTCATATCATTTCCTCAGCTAGTGCTCCATATTCAGTTTGTGCAACATTATTTATCACTCACAAACACATACACAAATACACTTATAAATGCACATCACTTTACATCCATTGATTCACATGCGAATATTTTTGTGTGTCTATTTTTACCAACTTTTCACACAAGCACTGTTATTTCACCGTAATAATTTTCATTTAAATGCAGAAATCATATGAGAACATGCTGCAGGTAAATTATGAAAGTCGTTTATTTTCTTGGTTTTTTGGCTACGTTTTCTCCTCTAGCAATATATTTACGTTGTCGACAGGCAAAAAATTAATCTGTGTTATTGCAAATCTGAAAATATGAAGAAAATAGCAGAAATTAATTAAGGTTTTGATTGTTTAGAAAATATAACGGAAGATAGACATTTAAATGCAAAGCTTACCCTTATATAAATATATAAAAGAAAAGCGCTTTAACATAAGAAAATAATATATGCATGTAAATTACCGATATTCTATCTGCTTTTGTCCTTTGTAAGCTCGGTGAGCTCTGCACCTGCGATATTTGAACCTTAATTAACGCATATTTTTGCGCCTACACACGAAAGCTTGTTAGTAACAGACATAAGGTATAGAAATGTGCGCGATATGGAAGATTTCAAACAGTTCAAACTGTAAATCTCTCTAGTTCTCAACACTTAAGAAGTTGCGCAAACTTTCGATAAATCATTCTAAGTACCTTGTGCTAAATAAAATATACGAAATAAGTTTGACTAAGCGTGAAATTGCTAATGCCATCGGCATCTCCGACGAGCGATACTTCATATTTTACAGCAAGAATTACATATGAAAAAGCTGTTTAGAAAGTTAGTGCCGCACACGTTAACAATTCAACAAAAACTGGGGCGAAAACAAATTTCTCAGAAGTTTTTTGTTCAGCTCCAAAGCAGGTGAAGTCAGATGGCATAAGTGTTTTGGGATGCAAAAGGAATTTTGTTACTACTCACAAAGGTGTTTTGACAATGACAAAACTCAACGAATTAAAGTACGAATTACATGAGCATCCGCCGTATTCACTAGATTTGGCTCCCAGTGACTACTACCTTTTCAGAAACCTGAAACAATTCCTTCGTGGAAAGCGTTTTTCGTCGAATGAAGAAGCTATTCCGGAAGGTCATTATAGGGATGGCATAAAATTATTGGAGGATCATTGGAATAAGTGGAATAAGGGAGATTATATTATATAAAAAAATATATTTCGTAACCAAAACAGTATTTTTTCAGTTCGACCGCAGAAACTTTGCAGCCAATAGCAGTTTCTACGCTCGAAATGATAAAATACTGTTTTTTTTTTTGTGGCTATTAAATGTAAATTGCGTGTCAACAATGTGTGTCGCAAATACAGATTACGTTAATATTATATATCACTGTTCACAGTTCATTGAAGCTGCTATGGTAATCTTCTTTAATTGTTATCGGAAATATTGTGCAGCTGACATCTGGCGCCTCAAAGCGCAATTTGAACGCAGTAAATGTCGCTGCGGACACTTTATAGTTGCATACTTTTTAATTTGACAATGCTTTCGAATGTTGCAAGCGTCTGTAAATCCTTTTTGTTGTTGCTTTTATTTTAAGCTATAATTTTTGAGTAGTTTACGCGCTTGATAAACTCAATTTCTCCATTTGTCTCTTTTACAGGTTATGCTGTGAACATGCGCCCTCGGCAAAACTCGGTTTTCGTTGGCCCCAGTCCCAGTCAATTCATGATGCCAAGACCGCCGCGTAAAACACGCTCCGCCATGGATTTACATTCGATGGTGTTGGATGAAGCGGCAGAGCAGGTTTAAATACATATTGAAGTTTACTATGAATCACAACATCGCTTAAGATCGACACTAAAGTTTCTTATGTAAACAATATGAATGCTTTTGCTCATTAACGCTCTCACCTATTTGAAAGAAATCAATAGAATACTTACTCCAATGTAATTGTTTGCTCTTGCACTTGTTATTTTCTACAAGTCACTACTATTTACCAACAACTACGATATATATTTATATATCTTTTAAACACTATACATACTTACGAACATACTTTTATGCTTAAGAATTCTTCCTACTATAATGATATAATGTTATATAAGTTGCGTTCTTATTATATATGTACGTGGAATACATGTTTCTATGATAACTATCGAAACTTTTTCTTATTCTAAGTCACCTACTTACAAAGGAAACTATGTATATATCTACTATATTACTTAGGCAATTGAGTGTTTTATACATTTTATATATATGTACAAGTATAGTATATATATACTAATTAAGATATCTTCAATAAAAATGTGAAGGCATTGGCTTCGAGTCTTTATATTTTTATATACACACTTCTTAAGATTTTTAGCCAGAGTCACCGCTATCATATTTTTTTCATATCTTCTGTATACAAAATACTCAAGCAAGCGACAATTGTTCGGAAGTAAATTTAGTTGCTCGTATATTCTTGGCTAAGATTGCTTTCCACTATCTACTAGTTTGTATTTCTATTTATTAGTATATTGTTGGCTAAATGAAGGTAAAATATCCATATCCACTATCATCCGAAGTTTAAGATATGTTTCTGATAACATTTTGAAAACACTTAGTATTAGAATATATTATAGGTTGTTAAAGGAGAGGCATTTCCATTGAAGAAACTCCGGAAAAATACACTTAATGGTACATTGCTGATTCTAATTCAGGAATCATTTTAAAAACCTTACATTATAATTTTAGGAATAAAATATTCAATATTATTCAGAGCTTTGATATATTGCGGTTTCCGATATACAGGCAGCAAATTCGTGTCAATAATTGTGTTATTTAAATGATATAGCTATTTGGAATCAAATTTGTGTCTACCGTTATAGGTATATGCTTACGGTGGAATAATCTTGATAAATAAAAACAATAAAAGTTGGGAAATAAAAGTAATTATTAAGCGATAATCTTGGTAACTAGACCTGATATTATTAAAAAAATAGGAAGACAATATTGAACTAACGATCAACGGTGTTATTCCAGCCGATCGCCCTTTCGGTCTGCTCTATGGATGATATGAAATAGCGGCATTTTTCTGTAAGTAAACTTTACCTAAAATTTTGTTCGTTCTTGGCCTGACAAAATTCGATAATATCAATCTAATTGATAAAAAAAACAAAAGGTAAATCATTGTATGGAGATTTCATACAGAACATGCAGAAAATTTGATATAGATCGGATCATTTGAAAAAACTAGTTTTGAGAAAACCGTGTTTAAAGATAAACTCATTGAGCTTATTGAATTGAGCGGCTACACATAAGAAGTGTAAAACTTTTTACTTATCTAACTAATTCAACCTTAGTCGATGAAACTAAAAGTTTTTGAGAAAAAAGTTCATTGACTTAAATTATTCAACTCTCAGCCAATAGATGGAAAAATCTACTGGGTCGTTAGCTTACTTAGATAGTATAAATAAAATGAATGATATTAAAATAGATCATGTACTACTGTTTACTGCTTTCTTTTTCGAAGACCAAGCGGATTGTTCTTATATATGGCCAACGAAGGCATATTTGGACAATATCCAACTTAAGTAGAGTTAAAGGTTGTCAAAATATAAATACCACTTTAAGGACAATAAACATAACGTAGGTGTTCTTAATTTTGTTACACGCAGGTCTAAAGTATTTAGAGATTCGTGCGTTATCAAAACACTTTTTACAATTTTGGTTAGCCCTTTATTGGAATATGACTCTATCGTATTGAACCTTAGTTAACAAATCCATTCTGACAATTTAAAGTCTGATCGAAAGCAATTTTTCCTTTTCGCCATAGGCCATTTTCAATGGGGTGCTAGGTTGAGTGTAACTTCATACACTAGGCGTTGACATGAATAGTTTGCAGTTCTTTTTTGTTGTCTAAAGTTAAATTTAATATTCTGGCCCGTTTTTCTATGCAAGTTGGACCTTTAGTGTTAAAATTTTGCAGATCAAATTTGATTTATCTGACCCACTTTTCAAAATTTAAAAGACTATATTGCTTTCTCTTAATACATAAATAAAATCATAAAAATTTATTATAACATAATTTAAATTGTATCTGTTAAAATTTTTGTTTCTGTAGCTAAAGAATTTTAGATCTTTGATTGAGCCCCTCGTGTCAGTTGGACGGGAGAAAAGTAATCGTCGGGTCAGTTTTTGATATATCGACCTGAAATTTTCGCCAAACACTAACCATTGGTCGAAACCGCCAATATCGGCCAACTATTGTATATAGCTGCATACAAATTGATTGGTCAAACTCAAGATAAGCAGCTTTTTATGCTATAAAAAATGCATGGGTAGTAGATCTTCGGTCTTCGTTCTTTTTTTTGTCGTAAACAAATCTGGATTCGATAGTCGAGCGACTCAGTATATATTCAGTGTGTATATAAAAATATATGTAAAAATTGCATTGTAAATAAGGCTTTGCAGAAAACTACTATTTAGTAAATAATTCAGTAAATTAAGATGTTCCTTAAGAGAAAAAATACAAACGAAAAGAAAAATGTATTTTCTTAATAATTTAATTAAGAAACTTCAAAGAAATGAAAAGCTTTAATACAAATCAACAAAAATACTAGCAAACGAGTAAGGTCGCGAGATTTGTGGTGGTAGTTGTGTAGAATAAAATAAAAAAGGGAAATATCAAGCAACATAAGCAAGGGTTACAACAAAAACAAATATACTTAATAGTTCTAAGCGTCAAAATTATAATATTTATTAAAAAATATATATATATTTCTTAATTTTTGTGCTATTTTACACACACGTTTCAAATAAATACTACTAAGCAAAAGCATATGAATACTTATGTATGTATTTTTTACAATATATGTACACATATAAACCAATTACAAGTATATATATATACGTATGTAACATAGCGTTTGGTCGTTGAATTTTTCTACTTGAAGTTTTATTAATTAAAAGTTTTCAAAAGTAGTTTGTTACATAAAGTTTATAATATGCGAAGTGTAGATTTATATAAGCACTTAAATAACAATTAAAGTATAAAGTGGCCAATTACTTCGATAAGTGCTATGTAGTGGAGTTAATATAGTAGTAAAAAACATAGAAAAATTAACTTTTTATTTTCAACTAATGACTATTGTATTCTATTTCTATTACACAAAACAAAACTTTATAAAAGTTTTGGTTTCACACACTGAAACCAAAACAAGAGCAATGGCAAAAAAGCTTTATGAAAATGTATAAAAACTAAGAAATAAGCGCAGCGTCGGAAGCACTTCGGCGTTGTCATCAGGCAATGAAGTTAGCATAGTCGGTATCTTATGTAATAAGAAATAACAACATATGTATGTATATAAATATTTCACGGAAAATATTTTAAATCAATTTGTAGCATAAACAATAGAGATTTATCAAGTTCAAAAAAATCTATATTAGAAATATTATAATATTGAAACTATATAAATTTCAAAATTTTCAACATAGTGAAGTATACGAAGGACAAATACGAATACCGGTGGGCAAGATTTTTGGTTGACCCTACCTTTGATTCCACTTGCTTTGTATTTTGTAGAAACTGGAGATTATCGACTATTTTTAAGATATGAGTAATTTTGGCAATTTTCCTTATAATACCAATGAACGAAACAAAAACCATTTTTTTGGGATTTTGAAAAAACGGGAGTAATGTGAAGTTTATTATAGAAATTTAATTAATTTTATATAGCACACAATTTTGTATTATACTTCAGAGCACTTTTAGTTCAAGAAACGCCAAATAAAACCTTTCACTATGCTCTAGTTGTAAAGCGATTGGTGCCATTGGTCGTTCAAAGTCGTTAACATAGAAGTTAGATAAGAATTTTAACCTTGCTACCCGATTTACGCCTGTAGTATATTCAGATTATGGAAGTTTGTGAAGGCCTTCATTTTGTAAGCTTTATCACTTCCGAGAATGACTATGCTCCAAAGCGCTTAAAAACGTGGGATTACCACCAAACTTCAACTCTAACAGATATCATTCACTATTAAATTGTATTAATTTTGCGCTATTATCGACTTTAATGTGACTATAAGCGATTAAAATATATCAATCTGGCCAATGTTGGTATATATTGCGAAATTGTATCCCAGGGGAAACCATCCATAAAAACCGCCGCCGATGGTATCGTATAGGTAAGCGAATTCGTCGAACAAATGTAACGTTATTACAACAACGATACACAATTTCTTCCTCTTTTTTATCACAATTTCCTAGAAAATTATCTTGCTTCATTTGTCTATAAACAGTGTGCTTTTTCCTTAGATATTATTTCTCCTAGAGTTGCATAATTGTATTTTGTTGTTGACTATCGTAAATTATATTAATATTATATAACAATATAGAAATACGCATATGTTTCCAAAAAAATTTCACAATATTTATATTTTTGAGCAAAAACTATGTCATTAATAATCCAAATATATATTATTATATATATAAGAAACAAATATCATTATATACAAGTTGAGACTATAATAAATAACACATATACCATACAAAACTAATTTTATTTTAAAAAAATATTTTCGGTTTCAAAAAGGTAAGTTTAAAAGGCGCATTGGGAATAAAAATTTGTGTACCGAGAAAATACTAGTCCAAGCGACTGAACAGAAATAGAATTAATACACCGATAAGAAGTTGAACGTATATTTAATGAAATTCATTTTCGATGAAATCCGATAACCCACTATGGAAAAATTCGAATATAAACAGCCGTACAAAGATCCGATAATTCGAACCTAGGCATTATTTAATACTCCGGCGGTGTCATCTATTGGATAGATATTTATTACAACCCAAATCTTGAAGGCAAAAGCTAACTTATGTTCACCTTCTACAACCCAAGAATGAAACTATTTACAAAATCGTTAAACTGAAATCCAATGATGACAAAAAAGAAAACGTGTATTCTCTTTGATAAAAATCATTGAACATTACGTATGCCTAATATTATGTTTGAGTTCTAAGCTCTCGTTTTGAGGTTACAAATAGAAATTCACAACATTTACAACCAAGTTCGGTTATGGTGCTCGACCGAGTCGTTGATAAAAAATTATTACGTGGTCTTATAGGCATCAGAGAGAGAACAAAAGATCTCAACGTTTCTTATGGATTGACACAACCATTTTCACTAATATTTTGAGTATGAAGCGTCTCAACTCGTAAGAAAAGTCCTAAATCTTTTCCAAATTTGACTACAAGTAAAGGTCGGAAAAAAGATTCTTGACAACTTAAATAAGAACCCTACATTAATCAAACGCTCCATTACTAGTGATGAATTACGATATGCCGTCATAACTGCCCAACAATCTAGTGAATAGCGCTTTCAAAATTAACGAAAAAATCAACATTCGCTGAAGGTACTGAAGGCCATCCCAGCCGGTTCCTATGAAGTGTATTGAAAATTGGATTAAGCGTAGGCATGCTTGAATTAGCTCAGGAGCCTATTTTGAAGGCAATAATATAGATTTATATTAAAATTCGTGAAAATGGTGTCAGTCTGGGTCCAACTTGATGAGATGATATGCTGACAACAGGGGTTATCGATAATCTTTATTAAATAATTTAAACTGCTTACAATAGATTCTAGACCAACTCTACAATAGCTACTAACCTGTGAGATATTTGATTGATTAACGAATAATAAATATGTTTCTGGCAGGGGCATCTCGCAAAAAAATTTGGACACGGAAATATGCACAATTTCGATTAAAAAAACAAAAAAAATAATTTTAGAATATTTTTATTTTCATTTTTAAGAGAGCTTCGTCCAACTTTAGCTTACAACAAAATCAATAATAACTAAAATTCCTCCAAGCGTAAATTACGGTGTACTTACATACATACAAACTCGAATATTACTTAATAGTTAATAACCCATCTTAACGCACACGAAATGTTCAATTTAAAGCACGTTCGCTCATTAAGGACGAAGCAACGGTAAAAGTAGTTGTACACGAATGCACAAATACATAAGAAACCCCATCAATGTCATCGGGTTGACAATAGCTGATAGAATGACTGACGATACCACTAACTTGCTGACTGGCAGACTGATTGTAAAGCCAACACAGTGCTAAGGTCGGCACTTAACCGTTGTATTGTGCAT